TTTTTTTAACAAAATGACTTTATGCTCATTTACAAAAAAGAAAATATATATGCAAGACCGAAAGAATATGCAAAGAAAAAAATAAAAAATAGGTGATAATATATAATAAAATATTTATAAAAAAACAAAAAAAAAATATATCTAAACAGGAAAAGAAAATTCAAGAAAAAAAAGAAACTGTACAAGTGTTAATAAAAAAAAAATAATACGTTATAATCCATTCACACAATTTTTTACAAAGGGAATATTGTTTTTTTTCAAAAAAAAAATATATGTAAAAAAAGAAAAAGATAACGCAAACAAGAAAACTATGCACAAATAACAGATACTCTTAAATAACTACATTATGTATAAAAAAATATTATATATATATATAAGCATAAAAGAAAAAAATTATTATACTAGAGTTTTTTTTCACTGTTTTTTTTTTGTCTCTACATGATTAATTCCCAAAATATTTTTTTTGTAAAGATAATAATTAGTCAATCATCGTAAAGTCTACTATATATATATATATAAACAAGAAACTATTTACTGAAATATGTAATTACTAAAAAAGGGTCCAAAAATTAAAAAAAAAAAATAAAAATAAATATTCACAAATCACATCCTTCAATAATATGCTCTTTGAACTGGTGGTGGACCACCTATATGACCTCCCGGGACTCCATTCGGATGATGATGTACACTACTTCCATACCCATTTGGCTGAGATTGTTGATCTAAAAATCTCGTTAATGGTTCTCTTAAAATATTACTTGTTGGTGGATTATTATTTATGGGTGGACCAACAGGATCTGAAGGTGTTGAATGGTGATGATGGTGGTGATGATGATGTGATGTTGATATTCCTGACATACGATTTGATCCACTTTGTGGTGGTCCTTGATGGTAATGATTTGCAGGTGGACCTTGTGGAGGTTGCCGTGAAGGATTATTCATCACGGGAGATTGAGGAGGTATCTGTGGTGAAGCTGATTTCCCGGAGTATTGATGATGTTGGACCAACGGAGGAGCTGACATATATACAGAAGAAGGTTGTGGAGGTTGTGATACTGGATGATAATGATGTGAATGTCCATGATGTGCATGGTTTTGATGTTCTGACGGATAATGATGATGATGATGTGGTGCATGCGTATTTGAAACATGATGATGATGTGGTGTAGATTGAATTGGAGGTAAAGCTGTTGGTGCCCTTGAAGTTGAAGGTGGTGTAGTATTTAAACCATTTGATATTGATACATGCTGTCGTGATGGATGTTGATTAGCAGGTAATATATTCGGTAAAGACGAATGCTTTTGTGTTGGAGCAGAAGTATTTGGAGGTAATAAATTAGGATTAGGTAAATTGGGTGAACTCATTGAATGACGATGAGATGTATTTGATTGTGGTTGTAGTAGTTGTTGTTGATGTTCTTCTATTGGCGGTGGTGGACCATTAACATGGGTTGAAGGATAACCATGTGAACCATTACGTGATCCTGCATTAACACTTAAATGTGAATGCATGGATGGTTCTGATACTCTACGTGGTGGAACTCCTGAATTTGCAGACTATTCATATATATAATTCAGTAATCTAATATTGATTAATTTTTAAAAAAATGTTGATATATAGTATTAAGTATTATTAATATACCTCTGAAGAATGAATATATCCTGTATTTGGTTGTATTGGAGGGTAACCGGGATGTTGTGGTTCACGAGAATTATACATATTACCATTTACTTGTGGTTGATGATGGGATACCATCGGCGGATTTAACATCCCATGTTCATTCAATGGAGGAGAACCATTTGGTATGATTTGTCTATTTGGTATGTTCTGTGGAGGTTGTGACTGTAAGGGACCATCTTTACTTTTGGCATTTTCCTGTTAAATTGAATTTCAAAAAAAAAGATACGGTAAAAAAATATTTTAATAAAAGGTTGTATGTACAAATCCAACGATTATCTCGTCAAATTTTCAAACAAAAAAAAAAATAAAAAATAAAAAAATAAAAAAAAGAAAAGAAAAGAAAAATAAGAAGAAAAAAAAACAATATAATTAATAATAATGAAAAGAAAAAAGATTACGGACGTTCGTATAAATCATGTAAGAGATATAAGCGTGCGGGGCATTCCGTTTCATTTTCGGATCATGCTTCTGTTGCAAAAATGAATTGATCGATCACATATCGTTTCAAAGAATGAAAAAAAAGAAACGACAGATAGGGACAAAAAAAAAGGGTAAAAAAAAAAGTTATAATTAATAAAGTGATACACGTACCATATTATAATATTTCTTACTAAACGCGCTGTTTTGTCCACGTAATGGTGGCATTTGATGTTGTTGCATCATTGGAGGAGGTTGTTGTGAAGGTTGTGGGGGAACATCCTAATAATTAATCAAGACAAATAATAATTAATAAAGACAAGTTTTTTTTTAAAAAAAAAAATCGGCGAATTATTAAAATTATAAAGGAGATGTTACCGTATGGGTTCCTATCATTCCACCAACTCCTGCACCATGTCCATGTGAATAACCATTAGGAACGTGGACGGGTGGTCCATTTGGGGGAGAAGGAGCTTTATTTGATTGATAATTTAATTTTTGTGGGTCACCATGAAATGAGGGTGAACCTCCACTCTTCGGTATTGGTACCGAATGATTGTTCATATAACGATTATTGGAAACTGAAATTTCAGACTGTGGCGGTGGGACATTGTGCGGTGTTCGATATGATTGTGAATGTTGTGAATGTTGTGTATGTTGTTGTGTACGATTCCAATCCATATGATTTGTACTAACTATTTAAATTATATAATTTTGTTTAAAACATCATAATAATTAACATTAACTGATAATCATCATTTTTGATAACAAACCTTGCATCGGAGTGGATATTGGGGCTATTGGGGTTACAATTGGAGCTATTGGGGTTATTGGAGTTATTATACGATTTGTATTTTTCTCTTCACCTAATTGTTCTCGTAAGTCGTTCAATTTTGGAGCACTAGCAAGTGAATATTGACTTGGATGATGTAACTTTGGCCTTGCTGCTATTAAAATCACATGACATTTTTAGTAATAATTATATAATATATAAATATATATTAAAATAAGGAAAAAAAAAAATCATACTGTATTCGTTCGAATCGGAAGGTCTACGTTTCTGAGGGCTTCCTCTCTTTTGTATCATTTTTGGATCCCGCATTTTTGGATTAGAATTTGTATTCACAACCAATGGTATTGGACCACTCTATTTTTTAAGAAGTACGCGAGAGAATCACGTGAGTCTCCATATCAAAATGGATCAAAAAAAGATTACATTATTTTTTTTATATCTTTTATAACTTACGGATGGTGGTCTTTTTACATGATTATGTTTTCTATAACTTGATGAATTATAAGGATTATTATTGTAGTCTACAATTTGTTGATTCTGAACCTGATTATCATGCGCATTTATATCACCATTTCTAATATCTTCTGAATATGTATCATGATGATGATGCTGATATTTTTGTTGTGATGTAACCTAAAACAATTAAGATGATTAAGATAAATAAGATGAATAAGATGAATGAGGAATTGAATGAGAATTGAATGAAAATGATTGAAAATGATTGAAATAATTTAAGATAATGAAAATAATTGAAATAATAAAAGATAATGACTATTATTAAAACGCGAAAAGCACAAATATTAATTATAGATATTAACCATTGATGATCCGCTTGAAATTGAATGACCAGACTCTGATGAAGTAGATTCGTCACCTAAATTTTGAATTTTATAAATGTGAATTGATCGAATTAATCGAATTAATCAAAAAATTGAAAAAGGTAATTTTGATCAAAGAAATTCTATATATATATTTATATTTTACTAACCACACATTAATGATTTAATTGACATGGAATTACTTTTTGCTCTAGGTCTTTGCTAAAAAAAAAAGTTAAAAGGAATTAAATCAAAATTAATCAAATTAAAAATAACAACAATTCAAATTATCAAAAGAACTCACTTCAATTTGTTGTGAATTTGGTTTTATAGTATTATTATTATTATTATGATGATTATTATTATTATTTGATATGCTAGATAATGAAGAAATTGTTGTAGCAGCTTCTACATCAGACATTTGTTGTTCATTATCTTTTTGGGGATAATGATCCCTATAATGAGAATTTAAAGGAGGAGACTGTGTAGTATTCTGATTAGGATTAGACAATGATAATAATATTGAACCAGCTTCTAACTGTTCCTGTTGATGATGTTGTTGATGATGATGCTGTTGTTGTTGATTACGAGAAGGTTGTAGTTGTGGAATATGTGGTTGTTGTTGATATTGATGCGAACGATAATATTCACGGTTCTGTTGTTCATTTGAATAAGAACCACCATAACTTCCTATATTATTACCACCGTTACCAGAACTTTGGTTATATTGTGGTGGTGGAGGTGGTTGTGAATGTTGAGAAGAAGACGCGTGTTGTTGAGTAAGAACGTGAGAAGAAGGACCGTCATCAGACAACAAGTTCTTCAGGCTACAAGCACCAGAAGTTGATTGTTGGTGGTGGTGGTCTGAAACGTTCGAGACAGCCGAACTATCGTTCATAACGTGTGATATTGAAGTTTTACGAGAGGCCATATTTATTTTATTTCTTTTTTTTTTATTGCGTGTATATATTAAAGTGAAAATGCGAGAAAAAATAATAATTTCCTTTTTTTT